TAGAACAGATGATGATATTTTGACTTCTATTTCATTTATCCAAGCTTGCATTTTGATTTTGTGGCATCCTGTAACAAGGAGCAATGGTTTTTGCTGCCTAACAAAATGCCCTTACTGCTGCAAACATGTATGACCTTCTGTGGTATTTGTTTGTTCAAATCCCTAACTTTATTTTCTTTCTGCTTTGTCTTGTCATAGTAACGCCATCTAGTCTATTCTTGTGTGGCTTTGACAACATCCTAGAGGGAATATCAGAGGATCAGAGGATATTCAGAGGATAAGGTTAGGCCTTTTTTAGTGCTTAGTCCTGTATTTCTCCGAGACATAGCTGGGTTCAGCTTCTACTGTCGCAACATGCTCATCCAGAGGATATTTTCCTTAGATAGAACATTTTTGAACAATCTGGTTGTATGATCTGATTGGATTGTCTCTGTAAAGGGCCTCCTGCGATGACATGTGTTGTATATTGTTGCTTTAGAAATAAACTAAACTAAAAATAATGCACGAATGTAAAAGGCTTATGATCTGTGTTATAAAATGTAAACATATACAGGTCAGCACGTTTGCATGGGAAGAAATACTTTGGTAACTGTGAGAGCACTGGAAAAAATCAAAATCTAGATGAGTAATTTTTTCTTAAAATAAGTGCATTCGTTCTTGGATTGAGGAGATAAAAGAGACATTTTGCCAATGGAATGAGGCAATTTACACTTAAAATAAGAAAACACAATTGCATTGTCTTATTTCAAGTGCATATCATCTAATTATCTTATTTTAGGGTTAAAAATACTTATTCCATTGGCAAACTATCTCATTTCCCTACTCAAATTAAGTGTGAATACACTTAATTTAAGACATTTTTACTTATTTCTAGATAGTTTTTTTCCAGTGAGGTAAGCTGTACATCTACACTGCAAAAAATGGAAATCTAAGTAAGTCATTTTTTCTTAAAATAAGTACATTTTTTCTCGAATTGAGGATGAAAGTGAGACACTTTGCCAAAGGAACAAGGCAATTTACATTTAAAATAAGAAAAAACTATTGCATTGTCTTATTTCAAGTTCATATTATCTAATTATCTTATTTTAAGACTAAAGATACTAATTTCATTGGCAAATCATCTTATTTACCTGCTCAAATTAAGGGTAAATACACTTAATTTGAAAATTGTTTACTTATTTCTAGATCGTTTTTGCAGTGTACGTCCCACAGAATTATTTTGCGTAACTGTACAGCTCTCTGGTAAAGCAGAAAGGTGATAGAGTGAAACATCTCATCAGCCAATCTGGAATCATTTCCAGTGGTGATTAGAGACGTGAGATAGTCCCTATGCTAAGTGTGCTAATAAAAGAAAGATTAGTGTATTTATCAGTTTTTAGTATTATTGTGAATTAATCATGCAGTTGTAAAGCAACAACCCTGGCCAAAGCAGGCTGATGGAAAAACTAAATGTCAAATAATAATTTAAACTTTTCCTGCTTATAGATCCAGTGCAACATAATAATGGAAGAAATTAATCAAATGCATAACTTTAAAGCTGGTTGACTTTTATTTATCAGCTAAAACAACAAAACAAATAGCATCCTTAAAAGTTAGTTAACACAGCATTGTAATCAATCTATTGGGCAGTTGTGTAAAACCAGTTGTGTGTTCTCACAACTATCACCCATTGAACAGTTTCTCTTTTCGGAACAGTGAGCTAACAAATTCCTTTAGGTTCTTTGGGTAAAAACAATCCTGGGGCTTTCAATCCTGATACTTTCATTGGAAAAGGGACCGAGGTGATATATAGTTATATTCTCCATAAGAACAACTCCAAAGCTGAATAACTAAAACACAGAGAATAATTCTCAAAGGGAGTCCCCAACCTCTGGGGATAGGTGTGCTTCACAGGTAATACAGAGAGGTAGAACTCATAAAAAATACAAATACCCCAAGAACAGGACAGCTAGTACGAAGTTAAAATCACTTTACCTTTAGAGCCCGTTAATTTTTTGGCAAGTATTCAACAAGATGCCAACAAAATTAAACAGCTGTTGCTTCATACTCTATTGATATGCTGGGAAATGTAGATTTATTGGCTACACATCCATGATAAGAATCATCTAATGATCTGAATCCCAAATGGGAACAGTAATTGTCAGAAATCCAGTTTGTGTGGTCTGTTTTTGTGTTTCCTTTCCTCCTCCACCAGGTGGTGCCCCGTCCTCATTGGGTCTCCCTGCACACCTGCAGCTCATTGCCTCATTACCTGTGGAGTGTTCTTAAGCTGCTGACTGCCGACGCCAGAGTGTTTGCCAATACAGGGAAGTCATCCTGCAAACTGGATTTGTTCGGTCCTTCTCTCTCTGGAAGGTTCAAATGAGCTTCTAACTGAGCTAAACAGGAAGTTTGGAAGTACGGCAGGAAATCAGAGTGGCAGTCAGCTTCTCCGTTCACTCCAAACAGGAAGTTTTGATCAACTCTCCCCAAGTGGTCGTTTAAGCTTCACGCCGTGCAAAGGTTTTTTCTGTACCACAGCCCGTTCAAGTACCGCAGGAAAACTGAGTGGCAGTCAACTTCTCCATTCACCAAGGAACAACCGCAGTCTGAGTAAACCCAGTCCAACCATCACCAAACAAGACAATCTCAAGTACAATCCTCACAGTCTGGATTCCATAAAGGACACCCTTTCCTGGAAAAGTCCCTGTTGAGCAGTGCTCAGAGCAGCACTGGATGCATCACCTTTATTCCAAATAAACCTGTTTAAACCTTTACCTGGTCTCTCTGTTTGGTCTTCTGCATCTTGGGGTCAGACCTTTAAATTAAATCATCCCAGTAATGAATTCATACGAATGTAATTGCATGTTAAGAAAAATGAACGTATAATTCTAGGAACCAGTTTCAGATCATCTCAGCTTTGTTTCTTAGTGCTTTATCACTGATAGAAGATACTAAGATGTGGTCACGAAGGGACCGACATGACCAAAACCAATAGGCTTTATTATTTAAATAATCCCCAGTCGATCCTAACAGAGCATAATTGAAACGTCCTTGAGAAAAATCCCCTGTATTATTACACCACCACCAGGAGTCAGACACGTTCATGAAAGCCAGGAAAGAAAATGTCTCTTTGATGTTTTAATCAAGACTCGTTGGACAAGGCAACATCGTTTTAACATTGTGTTGTTAGGAAGGGTCAGGAATCTAGCCTAGATGTGTGTCCTTAGCCTAGGAATGGCACCTGGTGTGGGCTCCTTCAATTGCACCCCATCTCTGTCATGATTTTATCTAAAGCTCAGACCCACATGCAGTGAAACCAATTCAGAGAGACACAGGTGAAAAGTTTAACAGGTTTACTGAAGAGTTGTTCAGAACTCAGCTCGACCGGAAATTTCCAGAGAAGTTGTAGGATCTTTGACTCCAATCTGTGTGCTGTTTTCCAGTGCTAGTCTGATTCGGTGAGGGCGGAACAGGGTTTACCCAGAACTCGGATGGTTGTTGGTGAACGCAGAAAACTGGCTGCCACTCAGATTTCCTTTACTTGAACGGGTCATAATGGAGATGATTCCCTTGCTCAGAGAGTAAACTCAACGTCCTCCTCAAGGAAGAAGGATCCAAACCTCCTGTTTGAATCTCCAGCTCAGTTAGAGGCTCAGTTGATTCTTTCAGGGAGAGAAGGTCCGAAAAGATCCAGTTTGCAGGAAGACTTCCTGCTGAGAGGCAAAGACAAAAACGAAGTTAAAACTAAGGTAGACAAGAACTCAGAGTTACTCAGCAAAAACTCAGCTTGGCTAGAGTACCCGAAACTGGCAAACACTCTGGCATCGAGGTAGTGGCAATCAGCAGCTTAAAAGCACTCCGTAACGAGGTAACCATCATCAGGTGTGTGAGGAGGCGGACCAGAACCAGGCGCCTCCTGCTGGTGGAAGGGAGAACAACACCAAAAGACAAACACACAGACTGGAGTCCTGACAGTGTCCTTTTACCCTTTATAGGGCCCTCAGTGAAATACTTTGAAAATTTACATTTTAAGACAATTGTGTAAATGGAATCCAGGACAAGAACTTAATACCTTTCTATTATTCAAAAAATATGGATATTTTGATGCCAAAAAATGAATGTCAATGTAATAACAAGAAACGCCTTCTGTAAGAAGTTCATGAAAAAAACTGTGAGAATGAAAGAAACACATTTTTTTGGGTTCAACATAACCTTAGAGGCAATAATGATGATACTGGCACTTACATGTTTTTGTTTATAAACCCAAATATAATCGTTAATTAGGATTATTAACTTTCTTTTTTTTTTACTTTTTTTAAACTTAATTAATATTAGGTAATCATTGAAGGGCTCATCTAATTGGTCAAATGCTTAAATAGGATGTACAGCCATGAAGCTGGATCTTAGCTGAATGCCTGCACAACAAAAAATGCCTTCTAAAAAATAAGAAAAAAATAGTGTTTTAAGTGAATAATTGCTTATTTTGAGCAAAATAATCTGCCAGTGCAGCAAGCAAATGAGACTTAGTAAGATTTCTTAAAACAAGAACATAATATCCAAGTAGTAAGCATCCAAAAAAAACTTAAATCAAGTAGAAAAATCTATTTTTTCTTTTACTTGTTAAGATTTTCTCTCTTATTTTAAGCAATTTATTCTCATTTATTAGTCATTATTGCTTAGAATGAAATATCCTCTAACCAATTGTTGGTCAAAACAAGCATACAATAGGCTTAAAAACAAGGCAAATGTACTTGATACCAGTTCATTTAAAGGCTGAAAACTAGTCTGTTTTTCTTAGCTAGAATAAATTTTATTATTTAGGTGTAGTGAATGAAAAACACACTTGACAAAAACTTGAAAACGTTTCTTTTATTAATATTTTAACAGAAATGTCACAGAATGAAGTGAAAAACCCCCCCGCCCTCAAAAAAACAAAACAAAAAAACACAAAGCTGAGGGCTGCACAGGCCAAACAATAAAATTCTCATAGAATTAAGTGAACTCCCCCCCCTAAAAAAACAACAATGTGCCAAGGCTTACTGGCAGGCCTAAGAATGAAGAGATGATGATGTTGCAACATCAAGACAGGGCCTGAACACACACATCTGTTTCCCTTAATTATTCAAACAAAAAACTTGAGCATTTAACTCTCATACACACTACTTGAGAAAGGTCTGCCAGTCAGCTTTGGCACGTTTAAAAGCTGCAGTTTGGTCTTTCTCATGAATCGCATCACCCAAGACCTCAGTCTGAAGGAATAACAGAACCGAGGACACACATTTTGGATATGTCATGTGAAATGTGTAGTAGTACGCCATGACGTACAGGACCGACTCAGCAAAACTGCTCCTACCAAAGGACACAACAGGGGCATTTCCGGCACAGAGGAAGCAGTCCTCCTCTCTTACCAGGATGAACGGTGTGGCTAGTGGCCGTCTTCTCAGATAGATGTCTGGGGCCTCTGTGGGCTGAACATCAACACAAGAATACATTACACTTAGCTGACGCTTTTTTTTTGTATCCAACTTGCATTTACAGTACGACTTAGTTAGGGCCTATTTAAAGGCTATTGGTTACAGTACCTGGAGCAATGTGGGGATTGGTGCCTTGCTCAAGGGCACCTCAGCCATGGACTAAGGAAGGGATTAGTAAGGGCGGGAATTGAACCGGCAACTCTGATCTACCGTCCATCGTCCTAACCATTAGACCATGGCTACCCAAAGATAAAGCAAGATACAACTTATGCTCAGGGACACATTAATGTTGTAGTCAGAGTGAGGCTCAAACCTGCCAAATGTTAAATGATAATAACAATGGATACATAGGCCCCATAAATATTTTATCTTGCATAAGGTTATGTAATTAAGTAGGTTCACCTGCAGAACATGAATGAGTGCCTCTGATGGAGATGACATCTTCTTTGGTGCGGGGTAACCAGAAGGAAACATATCTGGCAGGGAGATGATCAGGTCAATGGCTTGCTCATCTACAGAGAGAGAAAGTGAGCAAGAGAGAGATGTTACTAAGAGACAGAGTAATTGGAGCTACTCAATGAAACAACAAATAGCGCAATTTGCAATTGTAATTTCAGAAGGATTGCAAAACCTTACCAGCAGGAAGTCCCACCGGTGGCTTCAGAACCTTCTTATAGACGCCATAAAAGGAGAGTTTGGTTCTGTAGTCTACCCAACGCTCCTTCAGCTCTTTCACATAATGGACGTTGTCCTTCGCCACGATTCTTCTCAGCTCCTCTAGAACCTTGGCATATTGCAAAAAAAGGGATAAATATAACAGGGTTTGCTTAAAATACAAGGATACAACCTGACCGGTACATTCTTCCCTTATTTCTGAGTAGTCAGTGTACTTACATGGTCTATGTTCTTGAAGCATGAGTAGGCCTCAAGGATTTTGCCAGGTCTGTCGGCTTCCTTGAGAGTCTCTGAATCGATGAACTGCCTTCTTGCCTCAAATTCAAGGTCAAGGAGCTGTGAGACATCGTGTTGGTTTTGCTTATTCTTCCGGCACATCTCTAGGAGATGTCTGTAGTGCCTGGCCTGAGCCATCCTACTGTCGTGTCCTAAGTTTAAAAAGGGATAAAAACATCACATCATTACATTTTTAATCTCAATCTCCATCAATGACTGGTCAGAACTGAAACGTGTCGTTTTTTGTTTGGACAGGGTTTCTAGCACAGAAGGCCAGAAAGATAACCTATTGGGGCAACCAACCAACAGAGTCCCTCTTTTATAAACCATAGCCATCATGAGACAATTTGTAAAAGAGGAGACAGAGTGCTGAAGAAATAAACGTGCACAGTTCGTAACAGCAGTATAGCTGTTATCCCGGCTGTTTTGCTGACAACAGGCGAATCATTATGCACTCCAAACATATTGTATGCTGCACTGCTCTTCTTGCACCATTACGGAAGTACTAAATCTGTGCAGAGTCAAAATAAGCAGTGAGAAAAGTGGCTCTAAAAGCTTTACTTTGACTGGCAATAAACTACTGAACACATTATATATTTACATTATAATCAACTTCTCGCAACTGATTATTATCTATAAGTCTATTAGTCACCTTTCTCAATTCTTTTCGAGAGGGTCTGGTTTTACTAATCCGAAACAGAGTAAATATAATTTGCTTGTAAGACTAAACAAAAATATGAAATCTAACACACTTACCAACAGCTGCATCTTCCACTGGAGTACTTGTTGATGGGGAGTGGACCTCAGGGAAAGTGGAGGGCAGAGTGTGAACATCGGGGGTGCTGCTGGAGCTTGCTGAAAGGAGAATTGTAGATGTGGTGGAATCATCAGTGTCATTGGCATTAGTATATTGCAGTTTTCTCTTCCCCCTTGCAGGAGTGCCACCCTGGCTTTTCTTCGGTGATCGAACATTGTGGATTCTCTTTTGCAGTCGTTTGAAGACTTCAATCTAGGCAGAAAATCCAAAGACCAAGACATTGTCAAATATCCACATTTGCTAAGGAAGAAAAAAATAACAATCAGAATAAAGTTTTTTTTTTATCATACTCTTCTTTAACAAGGATCATTAAATAATAATAGCAATAATAATAATAATATTGGGTTTAGGTATGTTATCTTACAAGTATGTTACATAATGTAATGTGTGCATGTATGGGAGACAGTGGAATGAACAACCAAAGGCCTCTGTAAAGAGGCCAATTTGGTTGTATGTCGAGCTTATCGGAGAGCATGGGATAGTAGATCACCAGGCGTTTGGCCATGGCTACGAGGTCCTCCTTCGATGGATACTGCTTCTCTTCACAGTTCAATGCCCTCACTGCTGAAACCATATTGGTTATTGTATTACGGATCAGTATACATGTTAGCTCTTTGGACAGCTCACATTCTGCTCCTCTCCCAAGTCTTTTCAATTGAAAAAAGTAAGATTTCACATTCTCCAATTCACTATCAGTGTAGATCATGTATTGAGGGCTTGGCAATGTAAGGGTTCTGTATGTAGCCCCCCCACTCTTCTCCTCCTCTTTGCTGTCACTTCCCTCACTGCTGGTTCCAGTGGCCGCACACTCTCTTCCGTTGCCGACCTCAATGAATGCAGCAGAAGAACTGCATGAGGCCTTTTCCTGTAAAGAAACAAGCAAAAAAATAGACAGAATTTGAATTTGCCTATTTATAGGCTAATAATAAGCCTAGTATAACTCTAAGCAAAAACGAAGACGATAAACCACCATAATGACACATCACAGTAACACTACTAAATACAAAATAAACATGGGTCTAGATACTAAATAATAGAAGACTATTTTAGTGATCAGCGAGTGACAGGATGCACTAGATTTTGATGACAGTGAGGTGGTGAGTATTTTGGCCAAAAGCTAAGGATTGTAGATGGATTATAGTGTGTTTGGATAATGGGAGATGGTTAGTGGGTGGCACACTAGATATGAGCATGAACAAAACTGAATCCAATTGCCTAGATACCACACTTTGGCTCAAATTCCCCAGCAGACTTTTACCAAAACCCCAGTCAAGTAAAGTACTTTTCCACCATAGTCTCTGTGCATGTAGGCTACTGTGTATATGCAAACTGTGTTGCTTTTCCTCTATCCACTACCATCAATGGATATGACACAAAAACGTGTTGCATTGTGCTACACAGCATTCTAGCATTATGGAGTTAACCACTGATTGTATATGAGGTTTAAAAAAAAACGTTGCTTACCAAAGGGTGACACAGATCCTAGGGTGACCAAACGTCCGTATTTCCCGGGACATATCCGTATTTCACGTCCTGTCCCGGGCGTCCCGGGTGTTTTTTTAGAAAGTGAGGAAATGTCCTGATTTCACTGCGCACAACGCTCCGTGTGACGTAATCCCTGAGCCGCGTCGGTGCGGGCAGCCCTGCTCTTAATCAGAGGCTCTGTTCGAAAACCTGGGCTGCATCCTCCAAGGACGCAGTCTACCTAGACTGGATCCTTCGAAGTCCTTGAAAATAAGGAGGCCGGAAGAGTTTTGGCTGTGAATTCGAAGGTCCTCCCTTCGGCGGGTTTTACCGCTGTATTCTCTGTTGCTTAGCAACCGTGAAAGTTGACACACAAAGCAGGAAAAGAATGAATACGAGGTTTTCAAAACTGTTTGTTTATTTATTTATTTTTAAAAAGTTAAAGTGATCAAAGACTACACTCACAAGAATCCAGAGTGGAATAAAGGTTCCAACCACCGGGAGCAGGAACAAATCAAATCAAATGTAATGATAGAAACCTTAGTCAGTTAAATAACCTGCTGCTGTCATTCTGCACATCTCTGATGTTGCTGCTAGTTTCAAATATCCATTACTGTAAAAATGTCCATAGCTGCATATTAGTTATTAATTATCCGGTTTTATATTGTTAAACCACTTTACAGAATTGCATTTTTTATATTTTAACTCTTCCCTATTATGTTATTCTTATACATTTCTCTAAGGTCCTCATTTGTGTGACCATTTTCAATAATCTTTCTGCTGCTGTAAATCTGCCCATTGTGGGACAATAAAGGGATTTTCTATTCTTTTCTATAAAAGGGTTAGAAATATATAAGTAAATCTAAACAATGTATCTATAAAATATATCTGCAAAATCTCTAATATTCAACAACAAAAAATACTTAGTTGAGCATATTGTGCAAAACAACAATAAAAAAATTAAACTATCAGATTTATAGTCCCCACGCTGGAGATATATTAGAATCTGTCCTTAAATTAAACCGCCACATATCTGACTCAATAACCATTAAAACAACTATTTTCATTCATTTCAGACGGAACTATTCACAGAGTTGTATTATATTAAACTGAACTTGCAATTTTCAGCACTGTTGTGCGGCAAGTAACATTTGCTCTGATCACGGAGCAAATCCCGATGATGAGACATTTGTTCTTTCAATCAACCCCCCCCCCGCTCCAAGGTGTCCTGGTTTTCCCAAATGAAAATATGGTCACCCTAACAGATCCCATATATATTTTCTTCGCAAAAAATGGTCAGGCCCTGGGAAAAGGTCGCGAACCTCTTCTCTCGAAAGCATCTTCAGTGCCTCCATATCGATATTGGCAGCTGTGTCACAAACAAGGGACAAAAGGTACAGAACATCAGCAGAATCAGAATAATCAAAAGATGAGGTTCACTGATGCCCAAGTGACTGTTATTTAAAATTTGTTTAGTGTGAGGGAGATTCCATTGAAGAGTAAGTGAAAAGTATCTCTGATTAAATATAATTCTTAGTTTACCATTAGCAGGAATTTATGGTGGCTCAAGTCTACTGTATGAGCTTGCTGAATATTTGCTGATCCAAATAATTTTGGTTTCATTTGTCTAAAAATCCCATTCAGCAAGCTCATACAAGCCTATTGTAATGAATTGTAATTTTAAATGAAATTTAAGATACACAAATGAGAAAATCGACACATTAACCTAATTGACATTCACACGTGAGCACCATCATCACTATATCACGTTATCATAACTACCTGTTAAGATGTCTTTGGCCACACGGTCTAACTTTTCCATAATGCTGTCCATACAGTATGGCTGTTGTTAGCAGCTGGAAACAAATCACTCGGTTAACTGTGAATAAAAACAAAATACTGTCAAATCATTCTAGCTATACATCAGACAAAAAATTATGCATCAGAGGAAAGGTTACTTGCCACCAAACAGTGGTGAATATTGGAAGTTCATTTTAATATAATACAAGTCAGTTAATAGTTCTTTCTTGAATGAAAATAGTTGTTTTAATGGTTATAGAGTCAGATATGTGGCGGTAATGTTTGATTTATCTAAAGGTTTTTATCTGTTGCTGTGTAAATGGGTTTGGCTGTAATATAAGGACAGATTCTAATATATCTGCAGGGTGGGGACTATAAATCTGATAGGATTTTAATTTTTTTATTGTTATTTTGCACAATTTGCTTAACTAAGTATTTTTTGTTGTTGAATATTAGAGATTTTGCAGATATATTTTATAGATACATTGTTTAATTTATTTATATATTTCTACCCCTTTTATAGAATAGAAAATCCCTTTATTTTCCCACAATGGGCAAATTTACAGCAGCAGAAAGATTATTGAAAATGGTCACATAAATGATGACCTTAGAAAAATGTATAAGAATAACATAATAGGGAAGAGTTAAAATATAAACAATACAAGCGTTCCAACAATATATAACTGGAGAATAAATAACCAATATGCAGCTATGGACATTTTTTATATTTAAAAATAGCAGCAACATCAGAGATGTACGGAAGCGTATTGCTGTCACTTGAAAAAAATAATTTTTGCTCATTATATTGTATAAACGTGATAATTATATTGTATAAACGTAATAGTATATTGTATAAACGTGATAGTATATTGTATAAACGTGATAGTTATATTGTATAAACGTAATAGTATATTGTATAAACGTGATAGTATATTGTATAAACGTGATAGTTATATTGTATAAACGTAATAGTATATTGTATAAACGTGATAGTATATTGTATAAACGTGATAGTTATATTGTATAAACATGATAGTTATATTGTATAAACGTAATAGTATATTGTATAAACGTGATAGTATATTGTATAAACGTGATAGTATATTGTATAAACGTGATAGTATATTGTATAAACGTGATAGTTATATTGTATAAACATGATAGTTATATTGTATAAACGTAATAGTATATTGTATAAACGTGATAGTTATATTGTATAAACGTGATAGTATATTGTATAAACGTGATAGTATATTGTATAAACGTGATAGTATATTGTATAAACGTGATAGTTATATTGTATAAACGTAATAGTATATTGTATAAACGTGATAGTATATTGTATAAACGTGATAGTTATATTGTATAAACGTAATAGTATATTGTATAAACGTGATAGTATATTGTATAAACGTGATAGTATATTGTATAAACGTGATAGTATATTGTATAAACGTGATAGTATATTGTATAAACATGATAGTTATATTGTATAAACGTAATAGTATATTGTATAAACGTGATAGTTATATTGTATAAACGTAATAGTATATTGTATAAACATGATAGTTATATTGTATAAACGTAATAGTATATTGTATAAACGTGATAGTTATATTGTATAAACGTGATAGTATATTGTATAAACGTGATAGTATATTGTATAAACGTGATAGTTATATTGTATAAACCTGATAGTATATTGTATAAACGTGATAGTGTATTGTATAAACCTGATAGTATATTGTATAAACATGATAGTTATATTGTATAAACGTAATAGTATATTGTATAAACATGATAGTTATATTGTATAAACGTAATAGTATATTGTATAAACATGATAGTTATATTGTATAAACGTAATAGTATATTGTATAAACGTGATAGTTATATTGTATAAACGTGATAGTATATTGTATAAACGTGATAGTATATTGTATAAACGTGATAGTTATATTGTATAAACCTGATAGTATATTGTATAAACGTGATAGTGTATTGTATAAACGTGATAGTTATATTGTATAAACGTGATAATTATATTGTATAAACGTAATAGTATATTGTATAAACGTGATAGTTATATTGTATAAACGTGATAGTATATTGTATAAACGTGATAGTATATTGTATAAACGTGATAGTATATTGTATAAACGTGATAGTTATATTGTATAAACGTGATAGTATATTGTATAAACGTAATAGTATATTGTATAAACGTGATAGTTATATTGTATAAACGTGATAGTATATTGTATAAACGTGATAGTATATTGTATAAACGTGATAGTTATATTGTATAAACGTGATAGTTATATTGTATAAACGTGATAGTATATTGTATAAACGTAATAGTATATTGTATAAACGTGATAGTTATATTGTATAAACGTGATAGTATATTGTATAAACGTGATAGTTATATTGTATAAACGTGATAGTATATTGTATAAACGTGATAGTATATTGTATAAACGTGATAGTATATTGTATAAACGTGATAGTTATATTGTATAAACGTGATAGTATATTGTATAAACCTGATAGTATATTGTATAAACGTGATAGTGTATTGTATAAACGTAATAGTATATTGTATAAACGTGATCATTATATTGTAAAAACGTGATAGTATATTGTATAAACCTGATAATTATATTGTATAAACGTGATAACTCAATCCAGATGGTTCCGCTAATACGCCTTTAGTCTTTAGCGACCGCGAGACTTGGACCCCCTAGCATGTTTTGGAAGGAAGTGGAGATAGGATGGCTGCAAATATGGACAATGATTTACTTCGATTTCTTCGAAACCGCGGCGTACCAGAGGAGTGTCTCTCACGCATGGAGGAAGAACGCGTAAGTGTATTTTCCGGCCACTCATATTTCTGATATATTATTGGCCATTAATGGTTATAAATGAGTGCAATAATCATCAAGGTAGTTCTTTTGTTTGTACTTGCCTAGTTTAGCCTGACCATTTAGCTTAGATAAAGCATGCAGATAACTATTGTTAATTACATTTTTTTTTTGTAATTGTTGTATCTTCACCTTACTTGTTGTATCTTCAATTTACTTGACGAAACAAAGTAGTACATCTGCTAATAAGTTGCCAGTGGCACTGCCACTTGCTGCCACTAGGTGTCCCTGGCCACTTGTTGCTAAAATATGCTTTAAAATCATGATGTTTTTGATTATTAACATGTGTAAAACCTTTAATGAAGTTTTCTTCAATAAAGTCAGAGTGTGTTGCAGGCCGTTTTGACATTTATTAGAATTTCTGTCTTCTCTAATGTTCCATTTGTAGATCTAAAAAATATGATTCTTCCTAAAACCTAACCTAAAACTACATTCCTACTGGTCAGAACTCTACATATAGATGTCCTTAATTACGTTAGCCATGAAAATTTTAATTTTAAGGCTGCAAATAATATTATGGTACTAGTACGAATAACCTTTAAATACCTAGAAATCTTTAAAAAATTGATTGGCCCTTTTGACATTTATAGCTTGACTTAATATATACACTATATTGCCAAAAGTATTTGCTCACCCATCCAAATTATTGGAATCAGGTGTTCCAATCACTTCCATGGCCACAGGTGTATAAATTCAAGCACCTAGGCATGCAGACTGTTTTTACAAACATTTGTGAAAGAATGGGTCGCTCTCAGGAGCTCAGTGAATTCCAGCGTGGAACTGTGATAGGATGCCACCTGTGCAACAAATCCAGTCGTGAAATTTCCTCGCTCCTAAATATTCCACAGTCAACTGTCAGCTGTATTATAAGAAAATGGAAGTGTTTGGGAACGACAGCAACTCAGCCACGAAGTGGTAGGCCACGTAAACTGACGGAGCGGGGTCAGCGGATGCTGACGCGCATAGTGCGAAGAGGTCGCCAACTTTCTGCAGAGTCAATCACTACAGACCTCCAAACTTCATGTGGCCTTCAGATTAGCTCAAGAACAGTGCGCAGAGAGCTTCATGGAATGGGTTTCCATGGTCGAGCAGCTGCATCCAAGCCATACATCACCAAGTGCAATGCAAAGCGTTGGATGCGGTGGTGTAAAGCACGCCGCCACTGGACTCTAGAGCAGTGGAGACGCGTTCTCTGGAGTGACGAATCGCGCTTCTCCATCTGGCAATCTGATGGACGGGTCTGGGTTTGGCGGTTGCCAGGAGAACGGTACTTGTCTGACTGCATTGTGCCAAGTGTAAAGTTTGGTGGAGGGGGGATTATGGTGTGGGGTTGTTTTTCAGGAGCTGGGCTTGGCCCCTTAGTTCCAGTGAAAGGAACTCTGAATGCTTCAGCATACCAAGACATTTTGGACAATTCCATGCTCCCAACTTTGTGGGAACAGTTTGGAGCTGGCCCCTTCCTCTTCCAACATGACTGTGCACCAGTGCACAAAGCAAGGTCCATAAAGACATGGATGACAGAGTCTGGTGTGGATGAACTTGACTGGCCTGCACAGAGTCCTGACCTCAACCCGATAGAACACCTTTGGGATGAATTAGAGCGGAGACTGAGAGCCAGGCCTTCTCGTCCAACATCAGTGTGCGACCTCACAAATGCGCTTCTGGAAGAATGGTCAAAAATTCCCATAAACACACTCCTAAACCTTGTGGACAGCCTTCCCAGAAGAGTTGAAGCTGTTCTAGCTGCAAAGGGTGGACCGACGTCATATTGAACCCTATGGATTAGGAACGGGATGTCACTTAAGCTCATATGTGAGTCAAGGCAGGTGAGCAAATACTTTTGGCAATATAGTGTATTTCAGGTGTCTCAAGTGCATTTCCTCCTAGTCAAAATGAACATTTTAGATTTCTAAAATAACATTTTTCGATTGGAAAATAAACATTTCAGTCACCTTAAATGTAATTCTTAAATTACTTTAGATATCTACAAATCTTTACTTAATATCAGTGGTCATTTTAAGATATATTTCTTTGTATTTCAGATATCTTTAGTAGTATTCCTCCTAATCTAATTCTTACTAGGACAAATTACGTCACTTTTCCCCATTCATGTGCATTAGGCCGTTACTTTTACATATCCGAAATGACATTACTCCTATCTAAAATAAACATTCTGGATTTCTAAAAATGAATTTCTGATCTCTATAATCTGATTGTTACTGTTCATATTTTTTTATTTCAGACAGCAGGAATTAATGACTAAAAGTAGCATATCTTTAAGGCTTTCAAACCTAAATTCAAGACATTCGGTTTTATAAATTTAGCTTACTCTCTGG